TTAATACGAATATTGAAACTTAGTATTCGTTTTCAGGTAAAGTGTGGCACTTTCTTCAATGATGCCCACTTTCAGAGAGAAAGTTAGCCCATTATCTAGATCAGGTTGTTAGCAAATAATGAGTTTACGTGACAGCATTTATGTTGCAGAGACGTGTCGTCGTATTCGACAAGGGATGGATGAGCACTTCTGTGTTTAATAATCAGAGCTAGCTGAGCACAAAGCAGAAACTGGACATGAGATTGAGTGGTCTCAAATTGCCGCTTTGCTGATTTTGGTATTTCTGCAGCTAAGAGCAAAATTAGAGCGGCCATGCATCGCATTGTTGGGCTTACATACATTTCGAGTGAAAGGGTTTAGTTAAGGGATTCGAAGGGATTCCTCTTGACCAGCTGTCGATTGGCCTTACTGAAACCTTCTTGTTGGCGCTGTCTCAGAAGAAATCTCTTTTGATTCAAGTAAATACGTGACAGATATCATCAGAGCAAGGTATCATCTCTGCAAATGTATTCAAGCTGGCGAGTAAGGAATCGAACTTTGAATCCCTTCACCAAACGATTACACTTGAAACGGAAGTAAGCTCAACAATTGTGAAATTAGAAGTTCCTCAAAACCCAACTCTTTTTCGTAAATACACTGAATATAAGCAAAACCTGCAAGAAGTTAAGTAAACAACTATTTACGTTTAGTCAACAGTGGAGCCTCAACTCAACTAGTATTGCTTTTTTCGTTCTAATTATGGTCACTTTTCTGTACTTTTTATCCACTCTTTCTCTCTCACATGAAGACATAAACTTATCAACTTAATCAAATGTTTATATATGATAAGCACACCTTGATGGCCGTAAATAGGCGTTAATTTTCTGCTCTTATCACAATTACTGCTGTTTTTGTATATATACGAACATATGAAGGCGCATAAACGCAGACAGACGCACACTCGCATGCTTAGATGCTGACAAATGACTTGTACTAACTAAATCATTATATATCTCATCCAAAAAATTCGATTTACAATAGCTATACAGTTTTTATGGATGAGTCGACGGGTTTTCTTGACTCTTTAGCTTGAATTTAGTCGTAAGAATGATACCTTGCTCTGAAGATGTTCGTCATACGACGAACGAAAGCTTAGCACCTTTTCACCGGAATCGAAGGAGATCAGCTTGGAAACAGCGTCAACAAAATCTTTCCAGTAAAGCCAATCAACAGCCGATCAAGAGGAATCTGCCGTCGTCTTCTGGTGGGATCGATCTTTAAATATCTTCACCAATCAATTTCACTCGAAATGGGAGTGAGCCCTTCTATCCGCCCATTACTACTTGTTGCTTCAAACCGGCTTTCATTTTTTAAATTTTATTAGGTCGTAGTTGATGAGAAAAAAATATATGTAACCCTTGAGACACAAACAGCAACTCATGGAATGCTAGAATAACCAGTAATTACTCATCAGAAAGTCGCTATTTGAAATAGCTATATTGACTACTTAAATGCCTTATAAGTAGTTTCAGCCGAGAAAAACCTGTTATAACACCATTTTTGGTATAGCTCACGCAAAATTTAACTTTGGACTTATGGTTTAATCAAGCACTGTCAAAATATTCTCTTAACAGCTTCTTCACTTTATTCTCTTATCCCTAGCCTTGTATGTTGTGCCATACTTATGAGTAGTTTCCAGATGTGTAAGTAAAGTGGAGCGAAGTATTACTGTTGCCGCCTTTGGCCGACAACGGGGTCTTGAGCTCCTCTGGAGACGAGATTATGAAGTGATAGAGAGAGATATAAATTACAGTCCAGCCAGGGGAAGAAAGTCCTTTAGAATGGAAAGCAGAGTGAGATTCTATGGCATTCTGAGGTCTTCTACTGAGTTGTCTGTGAGATTCGGCTTTTTTGCTCTTCAACCACCTACCAACAAGAGTCTATACAATTTCTGTTTTATGCTTTGGAGTATATTCTTTAATTTGGCCCAAGCTCATCAATCTATCGACCCACCTTTTAGTCTTTCGCCCTGCATGCAAATCAACCGAGGGCCCACCACGCGGTCGTAGTCGTAGATACGATTGCTCTCGTTGCCTACAGCCATCGAGTCGGGTCGCATCTTCACCCATTCAACCAGGAGATAGGAGGAGACGCCCAGGCAACCAGCCAATAGGGCGAACAGGATACCGGCCACGGTAACCGCCTTAACCACGGCCAAAGGACAAAACTTATAGATGGCCGTGTTTTCAAGAAGACTCTCGTGCGACAATTCATCGTCTTCCTCGTTAAATAGTTCCATTGAGTTTATCGTAGACGTGCTGGCACCTTCCTGTAGAGAAGAGTCTTGAGGGAAACAAAGGAAAGAAGGGACTTGATTTGTACTCATGCAAGATGACAATTGATTAATAGGTATAAAATTCAGAGATTGGTTGCGTGATTTTATAAAATCTAGTCAGAATTAGGAAGATATAAATAGAAGATTGGGCAGAGTGGGATAAGCTATTGTAACTCATTGCTATAACTGAGCATAATGTGGGTACATTCTTCAGCTACTTGTTGGAAAAGACTTAAATTATACTGAATTTACATATTAAACAATGTATACGAATGGAGAAAAATTGGGGCTCAAATAAATTCTTGATGAAATATTGTGACATGACTCTCCATTTCGAAGAGAAAGGTGGTTGAAAAGAATTCATCATGTGGTCACGATATACAAAACCCAAGTAATCGTTGGCCAGGCAAATTAATCACATTCGTTATTAAAAAAGTTTCTTTTTTCCGTAGAATTAAATCTATATTTGGTATTATTTGTAGACATAATTTACCCTGAAAGACTAAAACTTATATTTTAGATGTATGCCATAATTTGGTTGATATTAGACATAAAGAAAGCAGACACGTTGCTTGGATATGGGATCTTGTTTAGCACCTATTTTAGCTAATTAACCACATGGCCTAATTAAACGTTCGTGTGTTTCAATAGGCACTCCTCGATCCAAAGTTATTAGTTCGCTATATGGACGATTACTTTGCTGTTTGGCAACACGGCAAAGAGAGTTTTGGGGAATTCCTTGAACTAATAAATAGAATAGATGCAAATACTAAATATACCATGTAGTAGGAAAAGGAAAATAACTTGCCTATTTAGGATGTATTACTGAGCAAAGAAGGTAATAAGTTAGATAGAGACGCTTATAGGAATCCTACTGACGCGGATTTTCTTATTATTTTTTTCTCGAACCATACATATGGAGTAAAATTAAGAGTTATGAAGTCTGTGATAATAAGGAGTCTACATCTAGTAGATGCAAACCATAGGGGCCCGTAGATTGGTAGATTGAGGGATGTACTGTTTCAAAATAATTACCAATTAGGATTAGTAGACAATTACACATCAATTTAAGTTAACAAGATTAGAGTAATTTGTTATCAGGTGCAGGATAGGAAAGTGGACTATTCTACTCAGTTCCTGATTTTG